TAGAGTAAACATGTCTTCACAAGGGAAGGTGCAAAGGGTATAGTGATCCCTACCTATCCTATGCAGGGATCGACCGTTGAACACAGTTGTTTCCGATTTCAAAATACCCTGAAAATCATTTTTGATTCATGTGGGGGATTGTTGGAAAAATAGTATTAAAATGATATTTTGAGTGATTATTTTGTGGTACAAATATATGTGGGATACACTTCTGATTTGGGTCGGGTCAAGGTGGATTCGGGTTCTTCGTAGTGAGACGAAGAATTTGATATAATGTACGCTCAAAATGGGTAATAGGTGAATGAGAAATTGATTCTCAAAGTGAACCTATTTGAGAGAAGTCAAATTAAGCTTAGAAAGCTTAAAGCTTAAGATTAAGCTTAATTAGTGTGACAACATGAGTTCTCAAGCTTGAGAATAAGCTTTTGGGAAGCTTAATTAATGTGCTAATTTGTTAGCATGAAATGGAATTGGGACGAAAGATGCATGCAGAAGCTTTGGTTTCGGTGCTTTTAGTTTTGGAGCACGAAGTAATATTCTATTGACTTAGGCTCCTTTGTGCTCCTTTCGTGGCAGCAGCACGAGTTAATGCTTTATGCATTGATTCGTGTTGCACCGTTTCGGTGCTTGCGGACCACTCGGGTGTGGTTTCCGGTCTCAATTTGTTAAACTTTCGGATTTGTACGGACTTCTCGGTCACTCAGATATTTTTAAAACTGGTTGTTATGATCGGTACGAATTAATCGGATATTAAGTTCGTGACCGTTGATATTATTTCGATAATAAGTACGACTGTTTCAAACGTTATAATTCAATTTTTAAATTGAATTTATGTTGGTTAATGTGTCATGATAATGCTATTAAGTACCAACCTCCTATATAAGTGTGTAGTGGGAGTAGAGGTCTTTTAACTGCATAGTGAGAGACAACAAGTGAGGGAAGAACACGAGAGTACACAACACACAAAGATAAGCATTTTTTCTTCTCAAAAACTCTGCTCCTACTCCATTCTTGAAGCTGTGTTTTGCACGTGCCCATGTTCACCGGGTTCGTTCGTTTCGGTGCTCAAACGTCGAACCGTTGTACATTTTATCCTGGGAAACCTAGGCCACAACGCTCCTAGAACTTTTAGGAGGTGGCAAATAAGGTTTTAAGGAAAGACAGGCACTTTGCCTAACTCGTACTTTCTTTCTTCTTCTTTCTTGTTTTGGATTATGCTCTAAGCAAAAATCCTTTCTCTCTTGTTGATTTGGAGTTATAATCTAAGGATTATATTTTCTTTTTGGTTGATATGTATTGGTATATCTTTTTCGTAGATATACATGTATATATAACCGTTGGGTCCATTTTATATATATTTGTGTGTATATATATATTTCGGATATATATCCAATAATATTTTATATATATTTCGTGTGTATATATATAAATATTATTTTACGGATATTAAATCGATTGTGGTTCATTATCACCAACGTCAGTTACAAATTAGGGTGCATGCAACATCGTAGAACTAGAACAGAACAGACAAACTCACAAACATGCAACAGGAAAATAAGAAAAAAATGACAGAGTTACATTTTACTTGTTTTCTCAAAGGTTCCCTCTGAGATCTTGGGCTTCAAGGTGCCAAACTTCCACTTCCACTGCCGTCCGGCTTCTTCCTTCTTGCCGTCTTTCTAGTTTGCACAGAGCCACCGACACTTCCACAAGATTCCCGTCGAACTGTCGAAGACTCGAAGCCTCGAAGGAGTCGAAGGGGAGTTCAGACTCTTAGACTTCAGATACTCTCAGTTGAGACTCAGAGTTCAGACTTCAGAGAATCAGAGATTCACCGGAGAAGGAGATTATGGAAGAAGATTAGATGAGAAGGACTGAAGATCGGATGGGGATGGCTAGAGGAGAGTAGGAGACTAAGGAGATTTTGAGAAGAAGCTCTGGGGAGTGGGGAGTGGCCGAGTGGAGAGTCTCAGAGAATGAGAGAATGGCAAACCCTAGGTCTACACAACGTTTTATATTTAGGCCATATTTCGGATCTCGAACGGGTTCGGATGGGATATTTCCTAACCCTACCCGTCCGTCTTTAATAGCCACGTTGCGTGGGGTCGGTTCGGATATCACCCGAACCCGTCGAATTTCATCTCCGTTCTGTGAGCGCTGATTCGGGTCGGGCGGGTTCTTCGGGTAGTTCGGGTATTGCACAGCCCTACCTCATAGAATGTAAAATTGAATTGTGAAATACTAATACTAACTCAAAATTAAATTGTGAATAAATTAAGTTAAGTCTATGAGGGAAGGAGTAATACTTATTGACCAACCTAGGAAACAAAATTCCATCCCTGCCTTACAAAAATTTACCAACTTCTAGCACAACCATTGATTACATTTCTACGGTCCATGGAGGTGCAGGCTATAGCTAGACTTGCACTTCATAAAGACAAGTTGTGTTTTTGAGATGCACGAGACCAGATTTTGAGAGCAACATACATTTTCAAAGCATTTCAATGGTGGATCCATCGAACCAATCTTAATTGCTTTAATAAGCATTTTCATATCCTGATTAATAATGCAACAATCTAGATCCTTCAAATTAAATGTCTTCAATCAGCTCCTAGCATCATAAGCTAAACTGCTTTGCAACTCTAACAACAAATAAAAGAACATATTAAGGAAACAAAAATCATGGTTGCCAATTATATAAACTTTCGTCTTACCGTACCATACTTACCGCTATAATGTACAATTCACATATGTTGGGAGTTTTTTCGCAAACTTGAAAGAACTCAATTTGATTACTTGCATATTTATTGCAGTTGGGAAGGACAAAAACAAAAGATTATGAGACTTGAAAAGAACTCTAACAAGCTAGCCAAAAGAAAAAAAAAAACAAAACAAAACAAAAAAACAAAAAAAAAAAAAGCAAGAATCCTTTTTCATAAGTCTTGAAGCAACATCTTTGTCAATCCACCTACTCGACTATAACTCAACAAGAATGAGAAACATGTTAGAGAAAACAAAGAATCAAAACACTCCAAGCCTGTATGAAATGCACTTTCCTACATGTTTTTAATCGCTCTATATAAGCAACCTAAATAAAACTTGTTGAGAAATTACTCAATTCACAACAAGGGAAAAAAAGTTATGAAAAATCTCAAAATTCTCTTCAGCTAATATTGTAGATACTAGCTCTCAAAATAAGTTAGTACCAGTTCACATTGCTGGGGGATCTTTCAAGCAATTAATTCCAAAGCCATACTATTCACTCCAAGATTATTTTAACAAATTTTCCTTTGAATTATAAATAAGCTATCACGTCATCAGAGCATAACTAACTCAGAATAAGTTCATAAATTTTGTTTGCAAGTAACACAAAGCAGCCACAACATTATACCAACCTTGATTACTTGCCGATTTATTGCTATTGGAACCTCAGTGTGGCAACTTCAACATTTCCACACTCTGGTGAGAGATAATAGTAGCAATATCTTGAGGTGTGTAGGATAATGGTTGCAAATTTCTCGATCTTGTCATTCAATTAAAAGTAATAATAAAAAATTCTTTAATATAACATCATGTTCAAGCCAAACATGCTCGAAAAATAATGAAGTGATGTTGGAAAATATACATTGCATCAAGCATTTACCAAGAAGCCGAAAAGAAAACCACATTGCAGGGCTTAAGTGTCTTAATTGTAGAGAACCATTTCTTGATAGATCTGAAGAAGATACCACCCATCTAAATTAGATTGTTGCCGCTTAAGATCTAATGGTGTGTTTGGTTCGCACATGGAAATCGGAATTAGAATGAGGATCAAATACTTGGTAATGGTAATGAGTTCTGATGAAAATATTTTGCATGTTTGATAGTAGGGTGGAATTGGAATGATTACCCTTTACAAATATTGCTGTTTGGTTATATATGATCCTATGATGAGAATAAAAGTTTTAAAAATAAGAACAAAAAATCAAGACAATTTATTCTAATATAAAGACATCAAAAGCACCAATATGAACAAAAAAAAAAAAATTCTAAAAGCACTAATCCAAACTTAAAAATCGAATTACCAATTAGGAGGGGGAATAATGTAATCAAACCCTTATTTTATTAGGAAATGAGTTTTCTAATTAAGGGGTAATCAAATCGCATAATAGTGTTCTGGAAACCTGTCAAATAAACAATAACAATGACTTTGATTCTCATTCTTGATAGCTAAACCCATAAACCAAAGACACCCTGGCCTTAGTCAATTTGCTTTTGCATTTTTTAATAGTAATTTTATTGTGGCAAGATGGACTGATTGTTAACCTTGATATGGTGCCACATAGACGAGAACATGAGTAAAAATGTCCATACTTATGGGGGTACGATTATGATGAGAGTGAAATTCAATCATTCATCATCAAAACTAAAATTTATTTATTGTTTGCATGGTGCAAGGTGCAATTCTATTTTCAAGAATGCGTGAGAAGGATTTATAGATTCGTACAAGAAGTGAAGAGTTACATATTGGAAGGAAAAATAATGCATACTCCACGAAAGGTATGTAACTTATGTGATTTTAAATTAGATTAAATTAAATATGTGTTGTTATAGTAAATCTTTTTAAAATTATTTATATCTAAAATAAAATAAAATAAAAATCTTTTCATGGCAGAGAAAAGCAGAGGCTTCAACTTGTAAAGATGGAAAGAAAGCAAAGGAGATGGAAGTAGTAGAGAAGCAGTACAGTTTAATGAAGGAATAGTCTCCAGAACTTTAACAATGAAGAATAAAACTCCATTACCAATAATATTGCAGAGGGATGCACTTGAGGTGAAAGGTTTCTTAGCTCAATCATACAATCACCCCGGCCATGCTATTTTCTTAGCAGCAATAAAACAATAATTTGAGTCCCTTACAACATAGCCAAACCCCATTTCTCAAGTTGACTATTATTGGGTATGGACTGGAGTTCCCCAGAATTAACCAAGTCAACATAATACTTATCTTACAAGATTTCAATTACACCACAACCAATGCTTACATTTCTAGGTTGCATTCAAATTGAACCCATGAAGCTTCATCATACTAAACTCCTACATGGTTAAAACCGTATGTAATCAAATAGTCTGGACTCCTCATTGTTGTCGCATTTCATACAAACAATCTGGGCTTTCGGAGATGCACGAGGAAAACGCAACAACTCCCTTAGGCTTTTGACAGAGGTATCAATATATTCATATTCCATAATTAAAACTCTCTCTAGTGCAGGGGATTTCAAGAGAAACATTTTCACAAAAAGCTTTTCGAGTGTAGATCCACTAAACCTATCAATCATGATTGTGTTAAGAATCTTCAGATCCTGTTTAACAATGCAACCGTTTGGATCCTCCAAAAGTCTTGTAGCCATTGTTATATCCTCACAAAAACATATCTATCACACAACAAGAAATGAATAAGCGAATAACACATACAACCATGAGGAAATTAACAAGGAAAAGAAACAATCATGATTCCAAATATATATATATATAGTCCATAGTTTCGTGTCTTACATCATCAGCATCTTCTGGCGTAATCTTCAGCTCACATAGGTTGGGGGAATGTTGAAGCAACTGCAAAACAAAGGCAAGATGCTCTTGACATGAAAGACTTAAAGCATGAAGCTCAATCACTTGCAAATTTATTGCAGTTGGGAATGTGACTGTGGCTATTACTGCATTGTCACACTTGAAAAAAAAATCATAGAACTCTGTCAATACTTATAATCAATCCATTTGCATTAAGGAAGAGAATGCAAAAGTAGAGATTCTCACCCTCAACAAATTGCCACTCAAGCAAAGAGTCTTAATTGTTTTCAAATAAAGGGTAATCCATCTGAATTCATCAAGCTCCCAAGACTGATAATCAATAACCCTCAAGCTTTCAAGTTTTGGACTACTGATCTCAAAATTACAGATCCTTTTGTTGGAAAAAATAGCTTAAAATGGCATAAAATGGCATGTTAAGTGGCTATTTTGTGGTACAATTATCAGTGGGGTCCACTTCCGATTTGGGTCGGGTCAAAGTGGATTCGGATTCTTCGTAGTGAGACGAAGAGATCGATATATTGTACGCTCAAAACGGATAATGGGTGAATGAGATATTGATTCTCAAAGTAGACCCATTTGAGTTGGAAAATGAAGGGAAAAAAGTGAGCTTTTTGTCCCACATTGCTTTGGAATGAAGATTTTCCCCCCTTATATACAAGAGCTCTTTTAAAGCTTGTAGAATTGTATAGCATCGAGGCTCTCTCGCGCGGGGGGGGGGGGGGGGTGCAAATCAAATTCCAACGGGCAGAGATTGAAAAAGGCTTGATTCAAGCCCGAGCTCGTGTGCGCCGGAAATTGGCTGGCCTTGCGGGCTAAGTTATGCCAAACTTTAGTATTTGGTATCATTTTCCAACTGGTATAGCCACTTGGTGCGCCATTTTCCAACTGGTATAGCCACTTGGTGCGCCGAGAGCACAACTCTCGTGCAACAGCCACCTACTCTAGTGCTACAAGAGAGCACGAGAGGTTGTGGTGCACCGAGAGCACAACTCTCGTGCAACAGAGTCCACGAAAGGTGCAAGGGCCGAAATTGGATGAGGTCGAAAGTTGAGACCGAACCCTGTACGCTAACGGTCAGGAACCCGAAAGTTCTGACTGTTGAGGGGATTGAATTCATCTGTTACGGAATTAATTGTCTATTAATTCCAATTTTGAATTCTGAATTCAATTCCCAGGTAGTGGCCTGCTGTTATAGCAGTTGGAAGGCAGCTTTAATGTCATTTTTAATTGCCATAATAAAGGCTATTGGCTCCTTCAACCCTATATAAGAGAGGGTAGAGGCAGTAGAGTTTAACACACAGCTTTACACAGCACGAAAGTATACTTTTCTAGCTTCAAAAATCTCTGCTTCTACTCTTTCTTTAGCTATACTGTGTTCATAGCCATTGTCTTGCTCGCCGGATCCTTTGTTTGAATGCTCAAACATTGGATCATAGCAAGTTTTATCCTGGGAAGCCTAGGCCACAACGCTCCTAGCATCTACGGGAGGTGGCAAATAAGGTTTTAAGGAAAGAGTGCTCACTCGACTCTTGCAAAAACCCAACACCAAACACTAGCCAAATTTCTTCATCTTTTCTTCCCTTCTTTCCAGGAAAATAATAGTCAATTTTATTTGATTATTATTTGTTTTTCTACCAACGGTACCAACACCTTTTACATTAAATGAAAGACACCTCCTCAATATTAGGAATTGTGTACACAATTCCCTTAACATTATCACTAAATTCAACACTCGTGAAAGCTAATGAAGTGACACTGGGAAATATACAACTAGGTCTCGGAAAATCAAAAATGAAATAGCCCAGAGACAGTTGCTTAATTGTCCGGCACGAGAATATACACGATGGCAGGATATAGGTAGGCCAAATAAACAAGTTAAGTTCCTGTAAACCATTTCTCGAAAGAAAACGACACCACCGATCTACATCAGACTGTTGGGGTAAAGGATGCCATGCGTAGAAAAGGTGCAGAGTAAATTTCTTTACTGGTCCAGCAAGGAGCATTAGAATATCATTTATTGTGTTAACCTGAGCTATACTTTTCTCACCTTCGTACTTTGAGAAGCTTTCGAAGAAGTACCAATCAAACACAAGTCGCCCATGCCGCAACCAAATATTGTTCCAGTGAGTTGAGAGCAGAGCAGTTCTTGCAGCTTCTCGAGTAGGCAAACACTCCAAAATCCTTTCCTTCACTCCTGCCGGCAGTTCACTTATCAGATCCCTTCCGGCATCCGCTTCGGATTTTCTCCGATGACGACTCGTCATTAAACTGGAAACAGAAGTTAAAATCGCTCGTCGATTTGAGTTCCAATTCAGCCCACAAGGTTTTGGAAACAAAAGAATTTGGGAAGAAAAAAGAGATTAGGGGAAAAGTGTTAGAAACCCTCGCCTTTGCTATTGGAAGAAAAGAATGGCAAATCATGCTGTGCATCCGTACGCATACGGATGCAAAAACGACGTCGTTTTAATAAAACGCGCGTCTCCCTTAAAAAAAAAAAATCAGGTTTGATTCCCAGCAACGACATATGAACTAAAATTCCATAATCGATAAACTATAATTCCATAATCGATTAACTATAATTCCATAATCTAATCTATGAACTAAAAATCCAGAATGAATGAACTAAAATTTCATAATCTATAAACTAAAATTTCAGAATCGATGAACTACAATTCCATAATCGATGAACTATAATTCCATAATCATTGAACTATAATTTCATAATCTATGAACTAAAATTCCAGAATGAATGAACAATATAATGTTGTTGCTCGGAATCGAACCTGAATTTTTTTAAAAGGAGAGACGCGCGTTTTTTAATAAAACGACGTCGTTTTGGCATCCGTATGCACCATGCGGATGGCAACAGTGGGCTAAATTGTTTCTAGCCCACTAATAATACTAACAATGGTTATGCTGTGAAATCGTGTCCACATTACAAAGTGCACACAGTTTTATGTTCATAATTATTGAAATATACGTGTGTTCATAATTATAAAGCTATTCATTCATAATTTTTGAATTTCATATTCATAATTATTAAATTCTATATTTAAAATTACAGAACTCTATGTTCATAATTATAAAGTTATATATTCATAATTTTTGAACTTCATATTCACAATTATTGAATCTCTATATTCATAATTACAGAACTATATGTTAATAATTATGTTCACAATTTTATGTTCATAATTATAGAATTATATGTTCATAATTTTAAAACTATAAATTCATAATTATGAACAGTTTTAGAACCACCTTGCAAGGTGAACATGGTTCCACAACATAATTGTTGGAAAAATAGCATTAAAATGGCATTTTGAGTGATTATTTTGTGGTACAAATATATGTGGGATCCACTTTCGATTTGGATCGGGTCAATGTGGATTTGGGTTCTTCGTAGTAAGACGAAGAATTTGATATAATGTACGCTCAAAATGAGTAATAAGTGAATGGGAAATTGATTCTCAAAGTGAACCTATTTAGGAGAAGTCCAAAGTACGAAAGATTAATAAATGGGAATTGAGTTTAGCTCAATTCGTGCCCTTGCTTTCGGTCCTGTACGAAAGTAAGCTTAAGTGTAGTTACGCTTTGTTATGAAAGCTTAAATATGTTAATTAATCTTAAGAGCTTAATTAAGCTTTGGAATTGGGAATATGCATGGACGAATGTTGCATGGAATTGAAAAGTTTCGTGCTCCTTTCGTGCTTATGTGTGAGCTGCTTCCGTGGCTTTTAGGTTCGAGGAGCATGAATCAATGTTATATGCATTGATTCGTGTTGCACCGTTTCGGTGCTTGCGGACCACTTGGGTGTGGTTTCCGGTCCCAATGTGCTAAACTTTCGGGTTTGTACAAACTTCTCGATCACTCAGATATTTTGAACCGGGTCGTTATGGTCGGTATGAATTAATCGGATATTAAGTTCGTGACCGTTTATATTATTTTGATAATAAGTACGACCGTTTCAAACGTTTTTATCCAATTATTAAATTGGATTAATGTTGGATTTTATGTGCCATGAATATGCTATTGAATCCTAAATCTCCTATACTAATAAGAGCCCAAGAGAGTTAGGCCTATAATGGGTAGAAAAAATGGCGGTTAAATTTTGTAATCAAATGAATGGCTCAGATTGATCAGATTTTAATTTTTCCTTAAGATTTCCTAATTTATCCTTAATGAATATGATTTTCCGTTAACTTTTTCGTTAAATATTATCTTTTCCGTTAATTTCTGTTAGTTTACCGTTAACTTACTCATTGATTTCAATAAGAAAGGTCTTAGGTTCGAACCTCATCCCAATCAAAATTGACATAATTAGTACTCTATTTTACTCTTATTAAATTATATAAATACTCCGTAATAATTTAGTAGCTACAACAAAAAATAATACATATGCATTCTTTAATTTAGAATTATGTGTCTACAATGTCTTTATTCAAAAAAAAATTATTCATTATCTATAAATTAAATAACAGAAATAATTTCATTAGTTATATTGTATTTATTTTTCTCCAATATAAAAATTCTTTACATTCAAATTCATCAATTGATTATATTCGCTACATTGTTCCTACAATGCTTTATTTAAAAAAAAAATTTATTCATTATCAATAAATTAATTAAGAGAAATAATTTTATTAGTTATATTGTCTTTATATTTCTCCAATGTAAAAATTCTTCATATTTAAATTCATCAATTGATTATATTCACTACATTGTCTATTATCTTTTTTGTGCACTATTTTTTTAATCAAAGATCAAAGTTATAATACAAAATAATGTTATATATTTATTTACCAAGTATTTTTTTAATACCATAAAAAAATTAAAAAAATATAATTAATAAAGCCAAACATATTAACTACTTTGAGGGATTTGTTGACAAAGAGAGTATTCAAATCACACACCAAATTGAAGTGAGAACTACCTCGCAATGTCCTTGTTTGACAATCAGCAGTTAGCGTTAGTGGATTATATTAGCGAATTTGACCAGCGAATTATATCAATGGTTGGTAAAAATATATTTGAAAAAATTAGTTGTTTAGATTAACATGTAAAATGAGCTAAGGGTATACATATAATAATAATAATAATTATAATAATAATAATAATAATAATAATAATAATAATAATAATAATAATAATAATAATAATAATAATAATTGTTTTAAAAAATAAAAAAATAAAAAAATATATAATTAAGTCAATCATATTAACTACTTGGGGGATTTATTGACAACAAGAGTATCCAAATCACACAACAAATTGAAGTGAGAAACTATCTCGCAACGTCCTTGTTTGGCAATCATCAATTAGCTCTTCAATATTAGTATATATTTAATATTTTATGCACTAATTTTTATTTGCTCTCCCTTATGTCTCATATTTGGTTTCAACCATACCTATACAATTATTTTATTGACAATTATAATCAATCTTGACTATATTATCTTGCATTTGTAATCTTAGAATTGCCTATTTAAATACGCAAATTTAACATTCAATTATCTATGCATGAACAATTCCAATATAATCTTTTCTTGATATAATTTAAAGTACTTATTTAAAAAAAAAACATTGGACATTATCCTAATCGCGCAATGCGCGTAAAAAACTAGTCTCCTATATAAACATGTTGTTGGAGCAACTTATTTTTTAAGTGATCGTGAGGGAAGAACAAGAGAGACACAACACACAAAGATAAACACCTTTTCTTCTCAAAACTCTGCTCCTACTTCTTTCTAGCTACTGTGTTTTGCCCGTGCTATTGTTCGTCAGGTTCGTTCGGTTGGGTGCTCAAACGTCGAACCGTTGTACGTTTTATCCTGGGAAACCTAGGCCACAACGCTCCTAGCACTTTTGGGAGGTGGCAAATAATGTTTTAAGGAAAGAAAGGCACCTCGCCTAACTCGTACTTTCTTCTTTCTTCCTTCTCCTTCTTTCTTGTTTTGGATTATGCTCTAAGCAAATTAAAAATCCCTGCTTCTTTCTTGTTGGATCGGAATTATAATCTGAGGATTATAAGTTCCATTTTTTGGTTAATATATATTGGTATATCTTTTTCATAGATATATATATATATATATATATATATATATATATATATATATATATATATATATATATATATATATATATATATATATATAACATTTGGATCCGTTATATACATATTTGTGCGTATATATATATATTTCGGATACATATATATCCAATAATATTTTATATATATTTCATGTGTATATATATAAATATTATTTTAGAGATATTAAATCGATTTTGGTTCATTATCACCAACAATCTTAAAACCTTATTTTTTTGATAATGAACAAGTCGATGGATTCCAAGAGTATTGGATCCGTGAATGTTGCTCGTGGTGCACATTCAAATGGTCGAAACGACAACGATGTTGCACATTCCGTGATGCCAGTTGATGGCAGCAACATTGGAAATGATATTTCCATGGGAGTTGCAAAAACACACGATGGTGGTCCAGAGAACTTTGGTTCACGATCCGGTAGACTAGTGGCTAATGGCACACAAGTGGTACCTATTGTGATGCCTAATGGATTAGCTAAAAGCCACGAAGGATCCAGTGTTTATGTTACTACTACATGGTCTGAATACTATGGTAGTGTGACCAATGACTTCATCTGTAATCAAAGGAAAGGCAAGCGGAAGCTTAGCTTTCAAGAGGGTTATGAGAAGAAGGAGAAATGTCACTATGAAGCGAACCGTCATCTTGGTGAAAAGGTTGAGGACAATTTCGCTATGTTTAAAACGTGTGGATGGTTGGACAAGTGAGGTCACAACCGAGGTACCCCGATGTGCGCTATGGACCACCCTTCGTGGAGTGGACGGTTGGAAAATGGAACAAGGCACACGGGTTTGAAGGACTACTACGAGATAGGAATAAGGAATTTGTTTCCAATGTATTTTCCTATTTATTTGTTTTGAATAAATGTTGTAGTATCCTTGTGATACATTTTATTATTGAATAAAATGAATTGTTCCATTTGTGTGCTTGAACTTTGTATATTTTTGAAATATTCATGTGTGATATTTTATTATATAAAAGATTCAAAATGGATGTCTAGTGCATCAAGTAGCAT